GCTTTCAAAAATTTAGAAGGTGTCTTTATGACTTGTCTTATATTTGTCTAACCAAATCTTTGTTGTTGTTGTCTTTTAAAGAGTTGATTGTCTTATGGAATGGATTGAGTAATAAGCTACTTCAATAAATCTACTTTTAGTATTGTCAATAATGAATCTTTGACATTGTCTTTCAATTCATATTAATTGATTGATAGGAGCTTTGTAATTTTAATCCACATTGTAAAAAAGGTTTTGAAATTTAGTAGTATATATGGTGGCTAAATGTGATCTTTATAGTAAATATATGAACTTTGTCTTTGTTATCATTTTTCAATCATTTTTTCTAAATAAAGCAATAAATACTTCTAAGAATAAATTTAAATCATAGAGTAGTCTTAAATCTTTTTCCATTACAAGTACAAACCAAAAAAGAAAACTTTCAAAGAAAAGTTCTCCTATGAATCTAACTTGAATAAATCCATCAAGATATTGAAAAGAATGCAACCTTTGATAGAGTTTTGTTTGTTATAGAAATCCTTAAAACTTTAATCTTGTCCTATCAAACTTCTTAGGTATACTTATCCTTCTTTCTTTTATATTTGTAATAGCAAGATTTTTTGAATTTAGTTATAAACTTAATGAATTTTCTTTACTCAATTGTATAATTTTTTGGTATAGACTTTAAATTGTATTATTGACTTCTTTTATAGGTATCAGAATACTACCTCCATAATTAATACTAGAGATATATAAGATTTTTACCTTCAAAATATTGACAAGTTCGTGAAGATTTTTAAAAGTTTCAAATCCATTCTTACTTTTGCTAAGAGTAGCATCAATAATTTTTTCTTCTATAGATAACTCAAACATATTCAAAAAGTTAAATTAAAAGAGGATAATTTGAAATTTTTTATATCAAATAAAAATTTCTGCATAAAAAGTTTTTTTTTATAAAAAAAATAATGTTAAAAAATTATAATATTATTTAAACGTGGATATTCTATAACTTTCAAAAATACAACAATAGAAGTAGAATAATCCACTTACTTCTAAAAAAAGACAAGAACAATGAGTTGAGACTTTTATCAAACTATCAATGACATGAATCTCAAAGAATTGAAAGATCAAAACACTCTTATGTCACTTGAAAAGATTAGATAATCACTTAAAGATGATATATTATTAAATTAGAATAGATATTGTCAACAATAAGAAGATTAAATAGTCTTGAAATAAGATTAAAGACTAAAAAAATATTGACAAGAGTGAAGAAGGCTCTACTCTTGCTTCCATATATACTATCTAATTAGGAGTTGCTTCGCGACGTTCTATAGGATCTTAAATATGTGTCCAAATTGCAAGAAATATGTCTTAACTTGTAAGATAAGTTATAGATATATTATCTTAAAGAATAATTTTTATCTAAAAATATACTAGGTACTTAGTTGTAGAGAATTTAGCTTTAATTTATTGGCTAAGTTTCAATAAGTAATATATTCTTATTATAAAGGACAAATAAATACAACAATATCAAAAGATATTCTACTAATAAAAATCTTTTTATATTTAAGAATCTTTGTACATAAGGCTTTCTAAAGCATCTAGAAATTTCCTAACATCATTTACTAGACCAAGTCATAATTAATCATTTGTCGATAAGCTAATTTTTTAATAAGCTCAAAGAAAATCTATAATCTCTTTTCAAAAATCCATCTTTATATCATAATTTTGTCATAGTTTCATATCTCCATCTTTCACATATATTTAAATCTTGGCTTTCAAAAGCCCCTTTACTTTGCATAAAATGTCCAAATTATAGCAAAATCCTTTAAAAATACTTTTCTCCAACAAAGGATTTTTTCTCCTTAAAGTTTTAGAAATTCATATCTCTTGATTAAATCCTTTAATTTTTTTCAAATTTCTAGAAAATTTAGAATTTAACTTTAAGATTTACTACAAAAAAAAAATAAACTATAAATCTACTCTCAATTATTTGATATCTTAGAAACCCTAGTAGGTACATTAAATCCTAATTTACAAGTACCTAAGTACTATTTTCTCTATATATCAAAAATCCAAATCCTAAATGCCACAAAATTTGTGTATAAAATTTAATAACATAATAACACACATTCATGGAAATTTATAGCCAAAATCTTGTCAAATTACTCAAAATATAGTTCAAAACACAACTACTAATAAATTAGATCACATATTTTCCTTCGATTGCAAGTATTGACTTCAACTTCCTATACTTCCTTCATTCTAACTTAGAATTCATCAAATAATTATAAAAAGTGTATCCAAAAAATGCTCTCTTTAATCCTAGTTGCTAATCCTTCATTGCTTTTTGTACACGTGCATTATGTCCAAAAGAGTGACAATAGGTACAAAATCAATACCTTAACTTTAAGTACCTATATGTCTTTCATAAAAATTCCAAATCACTCAAAATTTACACAAAAATCATAGTCAAAAATCTAAACTTTGTAATCCTAGTCTTCCAAGTTAAAATGCTTCAAAAAACTAATCCAAATTCCTAATAAGGCCTCAGATAGCCTCCTTAAAGTCCATTGAGAACGAATTTTGGTCAATAAGAATAGAAATTTTCATCCATTTCCATTCATCCATATAGTTGGCATGATTATTCTTATTTATACAAAAATCCTTCTTTAATCTTTTTTTTAATAATTTTTACATAGTAAGTATCCTAAATACTAAATAAAAGAAATAAAATAAGATTTCAAGAGTCACCAATATCTAATAAAGGTGGCTCTAAATATATAAAAAATATTATCAACATAAAATCAACTTTAATAATAGCCTATCATGGACATATATATTTACCTCAATAATTATTTATATGATTAGATAGAAGTAGATAAATATAGATTAATTTCATAAAATCTTCTTAAAAAGCTTCTTAAAAGCTTCATAGATGCGATTTTGACTTTAGATGTATTTGTAGGTTGGAAACTTGGCCAACAAGTTAACCAAGTGTTGGTAGCTTGTGGAACAAGTTAACTCTATATAATAGCTTGTAGAGCAAGCTAATCATATGGTGCATACATAGATAACTTGCCTTTCAAATTAAGACATGTGGCTAGCAAAGTCAACATGTTTTAGAGGTCATATATGACATCGCTATGTAGCTCCTAGTTAAAAGTATATATGGAGGCAAGAATGAAGCCTTCTTTACTCTTGTCAATGTTGTTCTAGTCCTTAGTCTTATATTAAGACTTTTTAGTCTTCTTATTTTTGACAATAGTTATTTTAGTTAATATTATATTACCTTTCGAGTGACTTTCTAGTTCTCTTCAATGACACAGGACTGTATCAAGGATTCTCTTTTTTCAAGATTCATATCCGTGACATAGCCTTTTTATACCAACTACTTTAAAGTAGTAATCTAATCACATTTTGTAACCAAATAAAATCAAATAACATGGCTCTCACTACATTGTATAGTAAATTATATATTAAATATATATATGCATAATTTTCTTATTGTACAATAGGCAAACTACAACATCACAATACCACATAATTAACTTATTCTACAAGTTACCAACAGGTGCAATAAGTGGCTAACTTGTTAACTAAGTTTTTAATCTACCAATTGACTAAAAGTATTTATAAAGTTGCATCTATAAAGCTTCTAGGAAGCTATTCCACAAAATATTATTCAATTAATTAACTTTTATCTACTTCTAGTTAATCATATAGGTAATTAGTAGAATAAATATGTATATTTGTGACATCTACAATATTACTTGTATCTAAAAATATATGCAATTTACAAAATCTTTGGTTGTAACGTTAATGTAGAAGAAGTTTCAAAATGAGTGTCATATTCATTATAAAAAATAAATAATAAATAAATAAATAAATAAATAAAAAATAAAAAATAAAAAACTTTTAAAAACTTCAACTCAAAAATGATGCAACCTTATACCATTTTGCAACTAATACAATAAAATAAAATAAAAAAATCTAACCTTGAACATTCCATTCCATGTCAAAGAGTTCTTTTTGTCACAATCAAAGTTGCTTTAGCTACCAAAGCTCCACCTTATTATCTGCCCTCTCCCATCTTTCTTCAATCTCTTTTTATACCAACTAATACAATATATATATTTTTTATATAAAAGCTAATTTTATGAAAGCTAAATTTTCTTTAAATATTTTTGTTTTTATTATTATTATTATTACGGGGCGAGTCGCGATGAATCGCCGCTCGAAATCGAAGATGAATCTGCTGGACAAACAAGCGAACATGCAGGAAGCAGAAGAAGAAGAAGAAGAATAAGTTGTGCTGTAGTAGTCGCAGTAGTTCAAATCCCGTAGCCAGAATGCTGCAACTGCTCATGTAAGCCAGCTTTCTTCAGGATTTATGGAATAGTGTGCATTATGGTCTTTCTTCTCTTACCCAAAACTGCCATGTCCAACTGGATTTCTTCCAGGATTTCTGTTGCTTGGTCGCTCAATTTCGATTTCAGCAGCGGGGAATGAACAGTGCTGAAGCGCGATTGAGAATATCAAGGGAGAGAGTGTTACCGAGGATTCAGATTCTCCCCAAATCTTGTACCATCAAACACCAAGCCAAAATTATAATCGAAGTTGCCAAATGAATTCAGACATATTTCTGACCGTTCGGGGGGGGGGGGGTCTCAACGAGCCTTGATGAATATCGGGTTCTGTGTAAGCGAACTTTGGGCATTTGAACAGCCAAATCTGCAGCTGAACCAGCTGATTCAGTATATCGCGGAACGGATTGTCAATTGTGCAAAAAGAATGAGCGGAGGCCGAAAATGGCTGAGTTTTGTGGTGGGAGCAGGGTTGCAGAACCCCGTACACGGTGACAGGAGGAGGCTGCCAGTGGCCGCGAATGAGCACGCGGTGGCCACCTCATTTTTCTATTGTAATGATGAGGATAGTTCTCTCCATTCGTTTCTGTACCCAATCTCATCGAATACTGACCACGGAATCCAATCACAACGCATGAAGTTGAAACGAGTGGAAAAGACTGCGTGTCTGAGGAAGGACAACACCATCCGCACTTGAGAGAGATGAGGTTGTGGCCTTAAGAACTCGAGGTGTAATAATCATTGATTGAGCAGCGGCTATGGCGTGCTTGCATCAATCTATGGCAGCAACCATGAGCATGTCCATGTTTGTCTCCCCAATTCCTGCCTACTCCCTTCACAGTCATTCCATAAGTGCATCGAAACACTTAGCGTCGGTTTTCTTCTCGCCGTTATCGCTCGGTAGAGTCCCCAAATCGGGACACACAGTGAAGGCATCGCCATTGCGAGTGAAGGCGCAGCAATCACCAGATGCGGAAGTGGAGGACGTCGGAACAGCGGGCGTGGCTGCCATTGCCGGAGGTTTGGTTGCGAATCCAGTGGTCACGTGGTCGCTGTACACTCTGAAAACCACTGGGTGTGGATTGCCGCCGGGTCCCGGAGGCGCTCTTGGAGCCATTGAAGGTGTGAGCTACCTCGTCATCGTCGGGACAATTGGCTGGTCTGCGTACACGAAGGTGAAAACAGGGTCGGGGCTTCCGTCGGGACCGTATGGGCTTCTGGGTGCGGTGGAAGGGCTATCCTATCTCAGTCTCCTCGCCATTCTAGTTGTGTTTGGCTTGCAGTATCTCGACCTGGGCTTCATCCCCGGTCCCGTGCCCAGCGATATGTGCTTCGGTACGCCACCGTGAAGGTGTTTGGATTGACGGCATTAATTCTCACGTCGTGTTTTTGCCAAATCCCTAAAACCAGTTGGTGTGTGCTCTTTGGTCGATTTCAAAGCTGAAAATCTATGTACCATACGTTGTTGTAGCGCATTTGTTTTGTAAGTAAACTGTATTCTTTCCTCGCACGTGCGTTCCGCAACTAGCTCTATGTGAGGTGCAATCTTTTTGCTGTGACGTCTGATTAGGTCCTGTACCTCGAAGATTGGGATTCTGCCAGTGAAGGAGAACCGTAATGTGGGTATTGTTAATGGTGAATGGACTCCACGAGATATGTAAATTCTGTCCAATTATGTTTTTGTGGGGTACGTCGCTGGTTGTGGTTGACGCCAGTATCCATCATTGTTTAAACAGCCGGAAACTGTTGCTCAGCAGTACCGTGCATTGAATTTGCGCACCACGGTATCGCACTTACGCTGGCAGTTTCCCTTCAACGTAGAACAGTACGAGAGAATCTTCCTACAATGTTCAAAATCAGTAGTAAGAAGGTCATTGTCATGTGTGGTCACTGTAACAAAAACTGTAATGCCGTGTGAGTCGTAGAACCCACGTACAGCTTCCCCTTGGCCTTTCGGAGATTCCAGTTCCAAGACTATTACGTTGCAAGATTTCCATCTCCAGCAGCAGCTCCCGTGCTGGAGGAGTCACCATGAGTTCCTTCAAAATCTGAAGGAGGAATCAACGTCTCTTGGTCGCGAAATGCTCATCACAGAGTGTCCTGAGCCATTGTTGCATATACGTAGACCCTTACCTCATTGTAAAGCCGTGAATCTCGTATACGATTGAGGCAGTTTGTGACGAGGAGCTTCGGCCCAGAAGCTTGCAACCCCTAAAGTAACTGGGCGTAGGAAAAACTGTGCCTTGGCCTCACACCTTCAGCATGAGTTATGTATGCGTCTTTCCTTGTCCGATTCATGAAGGTAGTACACAAAGTAGAACAATCTTCTTCGGCCCAAGTGCACAGGTCCGAGTCTCAACTTTCAACTACAATCGAACCTTGCTTGCTATCATCTTATTATTTCCACTAAAGAGGTGTACTCCATCCGAAGAAGTTGCACTAGACTCATGAGAAATTCTCCAGTTTACGAGCGCAGTGTATCAACCAGGAATGAGTTTGTGGATTGATGTGAGTCTCAGGCGACAAGCAAGATAACTTCATTTCTCCGAAGTAAACGAAAAAGAAAGAGAAAAATGAGTGTAAGTTTGAATTATCCTTCTCAAGGGAGGTTTGAGAGTTTTCTGCCCAAACTACAGGTTTCTGCCCAAATAACTTGTAGGATGGTATTCATTTGTGGGATTGAGTTTAATAGTAGTTCTGCAAAAGAACTCACTTTAGTGGCTGATGTTACTTTACTATGCTTTGTATTCTAAAATTCTTGTTAGTTTTGTATGTTGTTGTTTATTCCAACAAAGAGCAATATTGTAAATTGTGAAGTAGTTTAAATTTTTTAGAAATTCTATTCTATTACAAAAATATATATATGGTTATTTCTTCAAATACACTTAAATTGATAGATCCATTAGTTTTGTTTACAAAACTTTAATTTAATTTGTAATATAGTTTTAGACAAAAATGTTCTATATTGTTGTAACAATTGTATATATATTGTAATATACTTATTCTAACAAAAAAACCTAAATGAACATTGATTATTTTAAAAATTAAATCTAATTTATAGAATATGTTCATTTAATTTTAAATAAATTAAAGAGTATACTAAAGCATTTTTAAGTTGTAAAGAGTAATAAGGGATTTTTGAATTTGAAATATTTTTTATCAAACCTATGTAAATAGCATACAAATAAAATATGTTATTTTGTAGGAATTTAAAAATAAAAATAAAAGCAAGATTTTATATAAAATTGTAGGATAGTTTAGTTGAATTAGTAGTCCTTATTCTTATGTCTAAAAAATTCAATAATATAGATCTAATTAATTATGTATACAAACAAAAGTAAAAATAAGTTTAGCATAATTAAGAGGTATTATGCCAAACTTGATTTTAAAATATGTGTATATGTATGTATGGATGTATATATATATATATATATATATATATATATATTTACACTATAAAAGCATATCATAAATTATTTTTAAAAAATATAGAATCTATTGCATGGATTGATCAATAATGAACACTTTATTCCTAAATGTATTATTCTAGCTCTAAGAGAGGAAAAGAATAGACTTTGAGTTGACTTAAGTTAAAAAATATGGACATATATAAAGAAGATATATATATATATATATATATATATATTCATTTCTTTGTGTTAAAGTATAAATAATAGATCATATTAAACGAGTTGTGACAAATATTATATAGATGACCAACCATTTAGATAGATCAACTTATTCAACATAATTTAATCAAATTAAATAAGTTATAGATATATTTATTCTTAACTAATACATAATATTTCACTACGTCAAGTATTAACTTCTAAAATATGTTTTATTCAAGTTTCTAATACTTAGGCTTTAGGATCAAAGTTTTATTTTTTTATTTTATTTTATTTTTTTTTACTAAGTCTCTTGTCTCTTAAAGGAGTCAAAATTATTTTAGTTAAGACTTTTAATAGTATTTTAGAAAGAATTAATAATTTAGACTTAAAAGATAGTTCTTAAAATTTTTTTTATCTTGACCAATATAAAAGGTCACAAGACTAATTATATATATATATATATATATATATATATTCTCTCTCTCTCTCTCTCTCTCTCTCTCTCTCTATATATATATATATATATATATATCTTATTAAGGACATTCAATTGGATTCAAATGCTTGTACTACAGAATTCTTCATAGCAAAGTAATGAACTTATTTACAGGACATGAACATAGTTTTAGTAGATGTTGATATCTAAAGGTTATTATGTAGAATGTTATCTTTTTTTGTAATAAACCATATGTATATATGTATATATATATATATATATATATATATATATATATATATAGTTTATAAATTATACTTTTTAACATCATTTGCATCCACAAAGTAAAATATTATATTAAAATAGCTCTTAAATAATTAAACACTAATACAATTATATATATATATATATATATATATATATATATATATATATATATATCATTGTAGATTTTTTTTAAAAAATAACATACACATATAATTTAAAATATGTAAAAATATCTTTGTATCTTAATTGATTTTTTTAAATTTTTTGCAAATGGAACAATATAAAACATAAAAGATCTAGTTCAATACAAAGAAAAATTATCTAAGAAGATGAATTAAATAGTAATATTATAGATGCTATATTTATGTTATTCATTTTAACCTATTATATTGAACAATAAACTAAATCCTTAGATTATGTCTTTGTAAGTTTTAGTTTTCTAATTTTTTCGATTCTTATGATATGTTTCAAAATTTTAAAAGCAATAAGATATATTCTAACAATAATCTCTTTAGTATATCATTCAACTAAAATTAAATAAATTATCTTTTCTGAACAAATAGTTCTTTATACAACACCACAATTACCCCTTTTTTTATATTATATTTTACAACTTTTTGACTAACTACACAACTACATTCATATGTTGCCAATTCTATAAAAATTGGAATAACTCAATCATATTTAACTTGCTTTTTGAATTGAAAAAAAAATTCTTTGTTATTGTTAAATCAAATAATCTAATTATAAAAAAATATTAGTGTAAAATATAAACATGTCCTACCATACTAAATCAAAGTTGTTAACCAAACCACAAAAATTGTGTATCAAGTCAAAATCAATTAATATTACTTATGTATTTTAATTTGCATTATTATCAATACCATCTCTTGATTTTCAATCCTATTTCTATTTGGTTTTCAAACCTCTTTTTTATTTTGATTTATTTTAGCTTAATGACCACAGTACTCAATAAGAATTCTCTACAAGAGAAAATCAATGCAATGAACAATTGTATTCAACATACTTTAAAAACTTTTGTGCAGAACTTGAAAATTTTAAGAAGCTAGTTTTTGCAATATAGGTGACAAATACCTTTAATTCTTGTTAGAAACCTGCACAAAGTTGTCTAAAAAAGACTCTAGCATGTGTACCGGTCATGTAGTGGAATCATTCACAAATAGCCCAGTTAAAATATTCACAAAAGGAATTGCTTACTTCTTGCACAATAGTAAAATTACAAAAAAAAATTCCAAAGCTTTCAGCATGAAGGGATTTAGCAAAATACAATACACTTACACAACACAATGTGGGATGATGAACTACCAAGATGGATGTGTAGACAGACTATTACACTGCACACCCAGACCACAAGATTGACCCCTTCCTTCAAGAAATGGTGTATTATTATCAAACTTCATAATGATGTAAACACTCACCAAATGGCACAGAATGCTCACAGGTGAGATTATTGTTACGTTAACCCTCGGAACGTCATTCAAAAGAGCCCTATCAAAATGAGGCCAGAATGTTTAGCACAATCTTATTATGCAGTAATGTCACTAGCACCTCCCACTGCAGATGCAGGAAGTTTTACATTTGAGCGCATGCATAAATGTTACAGCTGATACGAGAGTCTAGACTGACTATTCCATTTGCTGATCCACAGCGGTTCACTTACAAATAACGTATTGCCAAATCAGGGTTTTCGACGTATGTAGTACCTGATAATACGCAGAGAAGCGTGAACAAATATGCCAAATTGAATTCAGATCAAAATGTGTAGACCGTAAAGTCCCACAGTAGCTCGCTCAGCCCGGGGATAGTGTCAACAAATCGATAACTGGCCAATTATGTATGTGCGATGTACGAAAACTCCACGATGAACTTCGAAAAAAATACATGGTTCCAGATAGTCTTCAATATCGGCAGCGGTGATAATTTTTAGATGAGTCGAAGTTACCTCAGACCTCCAAGACGGAACCTAGAATGCACAAGAATTTGTAACTTTCGAGTTTACTCGTGATATTGCCATTCCCCGACGGAAAGAAAAATGAAGCTCCTTCTGCGGTAGTTTCTCCTCGACCCGTGCCCTCCTTCACTAAATTAAAGAAGAATCTGTACATTGAAAATGGGCGGTCCGAATTTTTGAGTCATTGAGTCAGGAGACGCAATCTCCTGCTGTCTCCCGACTTAACTCGTCCTTATGTGCTGGCAACTTGTTGACGGTGACAATCCAAAAAATATGCGTGGCCATTCACGGGCGTCTTGGCATGTCCATTTTGAAGACTGTCCGGAATAGGTCCTCTTTGAATCTCTGCCCTTAAGTCCATCAATAAGCGACCAACATTAAGGCCAACACCATTTCTCGAAGCAACGTAGAGGGAATCACTCTGCAAAGATTCTACCAAAACTGAACCCTCAGTGGAAAGAAGAAGTGATTTAAGTGCAGGATAAGCTAGAAACTTGGCCTGGAGAGCAGTGCGCATGACTTGCAATTTTACAGCGTCCCAGTCCTTGCGCAGTAAGTCCGGCCTCTGCCTTGACAAAGTTTCTCCGATCCTTGCAGCTTCTACAGGGCTCTCAGTACCCAGTATTTCAGCTTTACATTGTACTGCCAGCTGATCGTTCATCCCTGCAAACTTCGAAGCTTGGTAGTAGTGTTCCACGCTACTCCATAACACGGGCTTGCCATCAAAATCTGGTATTGTGATAGGATGGTACGAAAGAGTCGAAAGAGCACCATAGCGGTCCCATGGTTTGTTGAAGGGAATGACTGATACCTTGCTCGGAAGCTCTGCAATGTCACCCCTGGAGATGCATGTCAACTCATCATTGCTATCGAGGGAAATATCTGAGAGCGGCTGCAAGTAACCAGTGACCAGCATATCAGGTCCAGTCAGTTCAAAAGAAACATCGGACAGCTTCAGAGCCTGCGTCATCTGCACGAAGCCAAGCTCACCAACGGGAGTCGGAGCCTGCAGCCCTCCGACGACCTTCGGAGCAATGAATGCTAAAACCTTGTGAATTACACCTCCTTGAATGGCAGGGGCCGAAAGCATGCCCCCGCACTCCCACAAAACGGAAAGATATCCTCGCGAATAGCAGTGCTCCATCACTGCTCGAGGACTGATAAGGTCAAATTGTACCACTTCCACCCCTCGCGACGCCAAGTGCTTCTGAAACTCCACATTAGCACCTTTCTCTGTCATGACTATCGTATGAGCGTTCGAAGTATCCCACAAGTTAGCCTCTCTTGGCAAATTCATAGTGCGAGTTATCACAATGCGGTCTGGTTGATGCCCTCCAGCCTGCCTTGTCGTCAAATTCGGATTATCACTGCGAACAGTATTCCCTCCAACAATGACAGCATCACACTGCGCTCTCGTTTCGAACACTCGCCTCCGAGAATCTGCGCTAGACACCCACGCAGAGTGCCCGCTGCTGGCTGCAATTTTCCCGTCCAACGTCATCGCATACTTCAGCGTAGACATGGGCAGATTATGACTCGCTCTGTACAACAACGGCGCATTCGCCAACTGGCACGCTTTAAGCGCAGCCTCAATTGCCCCTCCGATTCCACAATCCTCCCCTGCCACATCAACCTTCACACCCGCGCTTTGCAGAGCAGCGATCGCCTTGCCACGAAAATGCGGCAGCGGATGCCGCATCCCAACCACAATTCTCTCCAACCCCCCTCGCACGAGCGCAGCAACCGCCGCATCGTCACCCCCGCAATCCCCCGGCTCCAAATTCAAAAACGCCGTGGCTCCTCGGGCATACTCACCCGCCTCTTCCACCGCTTGCACCTCAGCCGGCCTGGCTCCCAAACCACTCAATCCTCCAGTTCCCACAACTCTCCTCCCCCGCACAACCACACACCCGAATTTCGGATGCGGAGCCGTTAGCCCATCGCTCCTCTTCGCCAATTCCACCGCCTTCAACAAATGCCTGGAGTCTTCACCATTTCCACAACCTCCTCTCACACTGACGAAACCACTCGCTAACGCCATTGCAGCGGTCATTGCTCACAACCACGAACTCTCCTCCTCCTCCTCGTATCCTAAAACCCTCGCAACTCTACCAAAGGATCGTCAGTAGTTTCCAGCCCAAACACGGCCACACAAGAGGAGGAGGAGCTACTTCTCCGAGAGAAGGAAAAGAAGAAGGAAGGCATGGAACCAATCAGGGCCCAGAATGCAATCCGAAGAAGAAGCAGAAAAAAACAAAGCAAAGCATGCGAATGAATAACAATCGGTGCAAGCAGCATTTTCATGGAAGGGAAAGGGAGCTGTTGCGGGGAGCTAAGGAGGCACAGCAGGTTTAGCTATGGCGGAGAAGACGAGTCGGGACGGGTTCCTCCCCGCCTCCCCCTCCCCCAACTGTCGCGGGCCGTATCTCCCGTTTCCCGACCCGACCCAGCCGGGACCCACCCACACACCCTGCTGAGGATGAGCTTGTTTATTTATTTATTTATTTGTACGAAAGGAGATAAAGTAGTACCGTGTGGAGAAAAGCTTGGCAGTGCGACTAGCTGCTTTTCTAAATATCTTTACTTTTCTATTCTTTTTCTTTCTTATTTGTATAGTATTTCGAGCATGTGATTTGCATTTATCATGTTTTTGCTCACATTCATGTATTTATTCATTTGTCCATTCATGCACATGTCTGTTCACATGTATTCAACATTACTGGCAAAGTGCTTCTCCATCCTTATTTCATTCATCTTCTTGGATGGATGATGACCACCAATCAGTCAACTTATAGGTCACATTGCTATGGGCTGTGCAATACAATGGCCATGGTGGGGGAGAGGCACCATGTGTTCAATAGTGTTGTGAGCATATTATAACACATGTTATAAAACATATCATGAATATGGTAAACTCTGTAGTGGCATGTTAGGTGAAAAAAAAATAAACATTGCATGAATCAAATTCTGTTATGTTCTGTTCTATTCTATAGATATATATATATATATATATATGTTGTAGTATTTATTTTACTTTTCTGTTTTCCACATTTTGTGCATGTGAATTTTACTTAGTTTAATTATATATACAAACATAAATATATATAATTATATATTTCTTCATTATTATTATTATATATAATTTAATTATGAATAAATGTTAAATACACCAAGGCTTTTACTAAATTAACCCACCCATCCTAAACCATCATGAAAAGAAAACAAATTACCTCCTTATTCATTTCTCTACTATTGACTCCAAAACCAATGAAAACCAACCACATTCATTATGATTACCATATTCTTTGTCATGTGTAGGTCAATTTTATAAAAACATGGGTCTATTTAACATTCTCCTAATTATATATTATTACTATTTGGTTAAAGATATACTTAATACATATTGTGAAAATCATAAAATATGGTCAAATTGTAGAATTTGGTGTGATGATATGATGTGATTAAAGTGTATTTGACCTTAAGTTTAAAAGATCATATACATCATTTTGAAAAAAAATTGTAAATTTTGTAAATTATAAAATAAAAACCTTAAAATTTTCTAAAAAGAATATAAACATATTAATTCATATGTTTATATATGACTATTTTTAAAAAATATATTAAACTATGTGGTCTATACACACAATTATGTATATATATATATATATATATATATATATGTAGTACCAAAAATCTATGCCAATAGACATGGAAAAGCTGTGATTTTTTTAATTTAAGATTGTTAAGTTGAAAGTTGACCACTTCTAAAGAATGTTGACCAAGAAAAAATAAAGAGTATACACATAAAAATGAAACCATTTACATTTCTTTAGTGTTATTGGCAAATGAAATTCTTATTTACTATAACAATTTAAAAAATGAAGTTAAAGGAATTTTGGAATAAACTATATTTACAATGGTGTTTTTGTCTTTGTTATATTTAGGATAAATGATATTGATCATATTTGAAGATGTGGATTGTAATAGGGCAACATACAATTGTCCATATATACACATGGAGGTTTTAGATCTATTCCCATGTTCTTCAATGATTATCTTTGAAACTAGTTATTAGTCATTGCAAATGCTATCTTTATTGGACTTTGATTTTGTTGCAACTTGAATGGAATCCCTGAAAATAAAATCTGTGGTATTAGATACATTTATTTTTTACATGTCTTCTTATTATGTTGTATCTATTCACTAACTCTCAACAAGATTTGAAAAATAATTTGTGTAAATCAACAAACAAACAAAAAATGATCTCTTTTTAGTCTAGTGTTCAATGAACAATCCTATAAGGTTAAGACTTTGAAAGTTTACTACCACACAACACAAATCTTTAACCTTTTGCAAATTAAAGGAACCCCCTCATTGCAACCATGTGGCCCAAGCATTGTTATTTTCTATCCTACATACTAACATTGATAAAAGACATGTCTATTATCCAAAGAGAAATTAGACAAATTTATGTTTACATATGGAGAGGAAAAATATAACTTTTGAGAGGATTGCAATTCACAAAACTTAATAAATGATCATAAAAAAAATACAATGACTAATGTTTTAATTTGTACTCAATGCACAAATATAGAAGGACTTTTGAGATTATTTAATTACCATTTTTTTTTTTTTACAAAAAAACGATAAATTTTAATTTTTAAAGTCATAAATCAACAACTTCTAAAGAAAAGTCAAATAAATAAAATATAAAAATCAAATAACAATGGAACTATTTATATTTCTTTGGTATTACTGGCAAAGACAATTCTTATTTACTTCAATGGCTAAAATATATAATTTAATAAAAATTTAGAATAAACTATATTTCTTGTGATATTTTTGCCTTTAATAATTTTGGGATAAATCAAATACAAATCTTGATTGTATTTGAAGAAGTGCATTGTGAAAGGATAACATATGTTTTTGGCTAATAAGAGGACTTCTATATCTCAACCAATTAGCCTATGAGAAGACTTCTTTATCTCTTTATTTTATACCTAATTTTATTATTATGAATAATATATATATATATATATATATATATACACACATACATATATTTAAAATTTCACATGTTTAACATTCAATTTAATTTTTTTAAGTTTTGAAATTATATTTTTAAATTTGTGTAATAATATATATGTATATGTATATGTATATATAAGTTTGTGAAAGATATTTATTCATTTTCAAATATAAATAAGCTTTACTATATATCTTGTAGTTTTAATTCATGACATCATTCTAGATAAAATCAAAGATAAAACCTTATGGACCATGTTTACTTTTTTACATGTTGACTTTTACGTAAAATGTCTATTTTTGTTTTACAAAAATTACAGCTTGATTTTTACCAAAACCTGTTATAATGGAAATGAAAGTAGTATGAATCTCAATAAGTTTTAATAGCCTCAAAATACCTCTAGATACATAACTTAGAATTTAATTAAAATCAATCATATTATTAACCAAATTAAATTTTGTTTTTTTAATTAATTTTCACAACATGTTAATATGATAGCAATGTGTATATATATATATATATATATATATGTATATTTTATAAGAATTATTGCAGAGTATCTCTTTTGTCAACTTAATGCAGATGAAACTATATTGGTTTTTCTTTTTTCTTTTTTCTTTTTGCAATTTGTAGATTATTTGTTTGTGTATGACTATTAGAATGTCATTCTACCTCAACTATTTGGCACTTGTTTTTATATTTAAATTCAAAGCACTTTGCAAACTTATTTTTGAATACTTTGATTTTATGCATGATCAAGGCATATTATCATCCTTAAATCAATGCATTTCTCAAGAAAAACATTTCCAGATTTGTCAAATTGATATTTTTTTAATGTAAGTGGTCTTTTGTCTTCTCCATTAACAGATTATTGAACATTTTAATGCGTCTCAAACATCGTTTAAAATACAAAAAAACTTTAATACTTGAAATGATGCTTATGTCGATATGAAAGCAACTTTTCTTCTATCTTGGTTGAATTTTTTTCAATATGTTGAAAAATGACTCAAAAATCTTTAATTTATATATATATATATATATATATATATATACAGAGAGAGAGAGAGAGAGAGAGAGAGAGAGAGATAAATAATTTGTGCTCAATGCCTTTTACTCTTTATTTTCCATCATCTCCTTTGTATCTGGATTGATTATATTGTGTGTATTAATATGCATAAATAATTCCATTTCAAGTTGTTTGATTATTTTTTGTGTTTAAATTTAAGTTTATGTATTTGAAAATCATATGAGGGTTTGTTGTACCGTTTTTTTATTATGTTTTAGTTAATTAATATTAAATAAATAAATATATATATATATATATATATATATATATTTAAAAAATAAAACCATTTACCTCTTTCTTGGAGATGGAGATTTTGAGAGTGGTAAATACTGAAAAGAAATTACTCAACTCAGATGATGCCACACACACTTCTGTTGGTGTTAGTATCCGTATTGAAGTGAAATAGTTTTTCAATAGAAATCACATTATTCCATAGTATTTTAAATTCGAAATAAAAAAGTAACAATAACAAATCAGTTTAGCTTCTATTTTACAATTTAATTATAGGATATTATCAAATAAAATAATCTTCAATAGTGTTGTTTAATCGGAATATTTCATTAGATCTCATTTTTTGAATTAAAATTGTAAAATATTTCTTAGCTTGAATACTAAAATTTTGAATATTTTACAATGTAATTATTTGATTACTTTGAAGTATGTTTTTCTATACTTGTTTTTAAAACATTATACATTTGAAAATATATATATATATATATATATATATATTTTTAATGCGTGTAGTTCAATTATTTTTCATCATTAGTTCTTCTTAATGATTTTTTGCGAATTTCTCTCCATTTCCACTTTGGTTTCTAATTGTGATTATTTTAATCAACATCATTCTGTATGTGTTATTTTTGTGTATAAGAAACAACCACATATAGTGCTTAACAACACATTAAATATCATTTTTTTTTTTAAATTTTTTTGACAACTTCAAATTTCCTTATCCTCTTGATATTTAAAAATGAACTATGTTAAATAGACCCATACTTTTACTAAATCAACCCACCTTTGATGAAGAATATGCTAATCATGATGAATTTGATTGGTTTTCATTTGTTCCAAATCCAATAGTGGTTAGAATGGGAAAGTGGATTTAGTAAAAACTTGCATCTATTTAGGAAAGGCTTGGGTCAATTTTGTAAAAATTTGGGCCTTTTTAAAGTTCCCTATATCAATGATACAACAAGTTTATTTATCTACTTCTTGAACTTAATAAGAATAATAAAAATAACAATATTTATCTTGAAGAATAATGAATACGTACTTCATTTCCAATCGTTGCATACATGGGTATGTGACATGATAGGCATTTCTACACTTATAATCTGAATTAACACAAATATCTTGATCAGGTGGGTCAATGTTCTTTAAGTGTGAAAGGATTGACCGCTGAAGGAAAGAGAAGAAAAAAAGAAAAAAAGAAAACAGTGACTGCCTCTATGGTCACGCATTCTCAAGGCTTAAAAGAGCCAAGAGAAAAAAATTACGCCATACATCTCGAGACACTGCCACATGCTAATGCTGAACAGACTTTACTCCATATTTTGCTATAAAATAGCTATCGAAAGTAAAGTTTAAGTTGCTGACCTCTCCATTGATACTACCAACCTGTTCGAACATATGCTACAAAGCTTTAAGTATGTACTATTCCATACCAAAACTGACTACTCTAGATTTTCCCTCGAAGTAACTGATATTGAACAACACACATTTGTCGAGACAAAATTGGTGTCTGCGAAAGCACACTTGTTGCAGCAGACTGAACTACTCGTCAATATTGCAATAAATAAGCTCCTGCATGGGTAGACGCTAAAGCAAACTGTCGCTCACACTGACCAGTTCGTCTAGCATATACAAGCACACTTGTGGACAAAAAACTGCGAGGTGATTTGCAATAGATCTGTCCAAATGCGACAAACCTCGCCCACATGTTGCGACAAACGGCAAAGCATACAAGTTGCTGGCAGAATATACAGCGTATGTACACACAAGAGAGATGGATTTTTAGCTGTTCGGCTAGAAATCCCTCCTCTACGGTTCATTCAGATGGAACGACACTGAGACACTAATAGTATGTCGCTCGCAGGCAATGGTTATCTCATACTCTCACACCAAAAAAGAGTGATGCACCTCGAGTACACGCTTCTCCTTGTACTTTCATGAGCGCCGTCTTTCGATCGGAGTATCCCACAGCCATCACAAAATCATCGCACAGGATGGGAGAGCTCGAGCCTACATCTCTGTGGAACAAATCAGCTCTCGTATTAATAAGACCACAAACTGCGACTTCATGGCAACCATTTCATCACAGCCGAAGCTCCGTATCTACGTCATTGTGCGTCATGTCGAAGTCTCCTCCGCTAGACTTATATGTGTCGTTGAAGAGCAAGCTCCTTGTCACAAACCCTGCTTCCGTCGAGGGGTTCAGGTTCGAGCTTGGTCGTGTGAAGATGCTGAAGGCCGACTTCGAGCTTTGTGGCAACATGTGAAAGTTGTTGCTGAATGAAACCTGCATCGACATTCACACCAGCGTGTTAGATCCGTGGTCCGGAGCTATGCGGCAGCTGCGTACGTGCAGGACCTAATACAAACTAGTCGGATGCCTGACAAGAAGGGGATTTAAAGAGCTCGCAATCACCTGAGAATTCGGTGCAGGTCCATTTTGTGATTGACAGACCATGGAAGACAACCGCCCGGAAAAATTGTCCACGCTCATTTCTAAGTCGTCACCGTGATGTTCAGTCAAGCCCGTGATCTCTACCGACTTTCCACCAGTTTTATCACATCTTGACGAAACCAGCATGGGGCCCGACGTTCCCACGTCAACAGCAGGTAAACCATTCAACTGGAAGCTGCTGAATGGTTGCGCCTGAGGCACCGCAAACTCTACTCTCTGATGCGACATGGGTTGCTGCTGCTGTTGCTGCTGCATCTGATAGCTGACAATCTGGGGCTGACATGCTATTGCCTGTGGCTGCTTAAATTGCTGGGGTTGTTGCAAATGTTGTTGTGATAAGTACATGCGATGCGAACTGCTCGCCATGTCATGACTTGAAACCGCCGCATTGTTCACACTCCATCCCGCACCACTTGCATTCGCCCTGCTATCCTGACTAGCCCGCCAGTTCATTTCTTGCTTGGTGCCATAATATTGGTCCCGGGGCTCTCCCATACCCACATGCTGGTGTTGAGGCTGCCGAGGCGGTTGATTCTGGAATGAAAAGTAGTGCCCGTTGGCTTGAGCAGAATGCCGAGCAGATTCGGAGGGAGCAACTGACGACGCCGGAGGCACCACGACAGATTGCGCCATCGCATTGCTCTGTTGCTGAGACGGAACGGACCATTGCGATGGATATAGCTGAACTTGCACTTGCTGGGGTTGGCTGGCGGACTTTTGAATCTCAGCTTTTTGCCTCTCCAACTGCGCAAACTTCTGCGCCAGCAGAGCGTTAATGGATGGCTCGTTGGAAGGATCTTCTCTCAGAATCTGACCCTGGTCTTGTTGAAGTTGATGCTGCTGCTGCGCGGCGGCGGCAGTGAATAATCGAGTATTCCATTCAGCATGCTCCTGCTCGCCCCTACTGTGTGCTTGTTCTTGTTCACCTCTATTGTACACTTGCCTTAACTGGTCAAGCGTGACAAGAGACTGCTGGGGCTGCTGCTGCTGCTGCTTCGGTCTAGGACCCATGCCTGCAAGACAACGACCTTCCGATCATGAAAATTTCGAAAAACTTACATGGATGTTGTGAACTAGGTAGAGTAGAAAGGGCCGCAAGGGGATGCCAGGAGAAGACCATCTAAAGCTAGATGAAGGCATTAAGGGCTACCTGTGCTTCTCATATTGTTCAGTAGCTGCGCTTGCAACATGGCCTGCTCCTGCTGAGACAAGTCGCTGTTTAATGAAAGCTGACTCTGGAGGAAGAGATGTTCGAAGTTCAACGGCGTCGTGGGACTTCCGATGTGACCATACGGACTGTGAGACCTGCTCTTATTCGGAAGGTGACGTTGCTCGAAATCGTTCATCTTCTCCACATCCATCCCTACACGACACAAAACGACATCGTTGGTCAGAAAACGATAACTGTGGAGAAAGCACAAGCGATTCTCTCGTAAACTCAACGCCTTCACTACGTCGCCTCAGTTCTCAGGTTCCTCACTCCAGTAACCCCATCACCACTACTCTCTGTTCCCCAAGGATGGTTGTTGAGATGGGAAAATTCAGGGATCGTACGCTGAAAGGAGGCGAATTGTTTCACTACGCAGACATCGAGGAGATCGACCCAGTAATACAAATTAAAGGTAAGGCGAGGTAACAGTATTGGACTTGGGGATATGGTGAGTCTCCTGTTGCGATATTCAATTCATCCGTGTAGAATGAAATGCTCGTCGTATTCACCTTTAGCACTCGATTTACTGGTAACAGCGGTCGGCGAATTTCGAGAAGTAAGCGGTCCAGGACGAATAGTCATCCTCGCTCCAGATCGCGGTGGATTTTCACGCATGCAGCTCACAGTTTTCTAAGTGTGGGAATCTCTTCAGTGCTTGGATATTTCGTAGATAATCTGAGGGTGGAAGAGAAACCTGCCAACACAGGAAGACTCGATGAGCATCACTAAGTCACCAAACTCGCTCTCCGAGATGACGATGAACCTGTAACAGGTATCGCGTTCTTCGAAATGACTATGCGGTAGATGCAATTGTCTATGCTTTGCACGCAAGCTAGTTAACCACGTTGAAAAGTCGGGATGAAATACACAACAAATACCGAGCTCGAACGTTCTCAACGAGAGAGAGAGAGGGACAATTGCAGAACGATCACGATTGAAAGTAATCCTAAGAGACCGGTGTACTAAGTTCGCAAGTATCACACTAAGCAGAGACGAATAACCAGTGGATACGCTTGAATGAAACACTTGGAACGCCTGTTCTCCTCTGTCACCTTCACTGAACGAACTCCAACAGTTCGGTGCTCAGTTTAAGGCTGTAAAACGGAGTACTAATACTGCGCCGTTTGCAAGGGGAAAAAATAAGGATCCTCCAAATTCCAAATCATCATTCCTTTCATGTCAAGAGGGACGAGTTTCAACGCTGTAGACCAGCCTCCAAGGTCTTAAACTTCAAAGGAAGCAACCAAGATATACAAAAATCTCAGTATTTCCTACAATATACGATTGATGTCTAAGAAACAACTAAAACTACCCACCCTCGTTTTCTCAACGCACTCTCTTCAGTGAATGCTATTATTCTAGAAAGTCTGTACTTAATCTTTCACTCTTCCGAAGAAAACTGTAACATCTCACGCGCCCAGAACGTGTCTCTGCACTACCACGACCACGTCGAACCAGTTCTCGAATCGCATTCAGAAACGACTCACGCAGGCACAGATCTGGACATCCAATCGCTGCAGTCGAAAGACGAGCCCAAGACTGTCTAACACTCCGAACAGAAAACCGCACTAAGAACAAAAGGAAGCACCACAGGATGCGATCCACCACCAAGACAAATCCAGCTCTCGTTCGAACTACCGTCTCTGCAACCATAGAGCCGAGCATGCAAAACCCATTTCTTCCGCCACCGAAGCCAACCAACCCACTGTGACCCACTCCCTACAGGCTTCACAACTGAATCGTCAATGACAGAGCACACATCTTACCCCGGATAAAACCCAACCGAGCAAACTGGGTCTCGATAAAAATCCTGTGCAAACTGCAAACTTCACAACACAGAAACCACTCCCTCCAACGAGAGAAAATTGACTACAGCGGCTGTCAACACGCTAGCCAGCTGAGCAACAAGCTCTAGAGGAGGAATCAGGTGCTATGGAAAAGCTCGAGATGGAGAAAACAGACACTGAGAGAGAAGGAGAGAGAGAGGAGGGGGGGGGGGGAGTGGGGAGAATGGCGACTGTGGGGATGAGGAGGTAGGATTTGAGAGATGGAGGAGCCGCGGGGGGGCTACACTGCTGATCGCCAAAGGAGTAAGTTAATATAAAGTTTTTGTCAAACTTGGGGAGCATTCGTCCGTCAGTCTCCGGCATGGGCCAGACACGACAAACACGGCCTCTTCCAAACAAGACCTTCGGTTTGTCGTCTTTTCCTCAGGAACCCCACCCCCCTCCCCCCACTCCATCCTTTTCCTCCCTTTTCGCTTGTTTCTCCCACCTCGTCTTTTCCACCCTCGTCGTCTTCTTCTTCACCATGGTCATCGTCACCACCACCACCTCTGCTGCCTGGTAATTAACTTCTACAACCCTTCTCAGAAATCAGTGATCCGTCAGCTTTCGATTGATGAAAACACACACATACAAATATATATATATATATATATATATTTACACGCTCAAAGGAATGAATGTGTGTATAGGTGTGTTTAAAGGCATGCAAGGTGTTAATTACCATTCACATTATTTCAGCAAGGTAGTAGAGTTACTGAGCTTGAAGGAATCACTAGCAAACAATCAGTTGTGATTTTCCAACATATATTTCACATTCATGACACTCTTCTATTTGAGGGGGAGGAGGGTGGGGGGTTATAAGATGATAACAACAGTATATTAATAGCATTTAGTAGCTAGTTTTCATGAGCATGCCACTTTATTGACATGTTGGGCATGGGTTCTTTTTGTGGTGGAAGGATTGAACTCCCCTTCTCCCCCCCCCCTCCCCCCCCCCCATCCCTTTGTTCGAGGAATGTTACTGTGCAAATGACAGAAGCACCAGAGTGAGAAATCTTCCAATTATCTCTACATCCATCTCTACCTCTCTCTCTCTTCCTCTTCCATACAGACAGGTTCCATTCACACACCCATACCCTCTTTCCTGGGCCCCATGCGGACTCAGCCCTAATTTTGGCCACCTTAGAGTTGTACAGTGGTTGCAATAAGGTTCTGACCCAGAGATTTGGATGCTGCGGTCCAAAGCATGCACTGCCCAATGGGATCAGAAAAAGAGAAACAAGGGAGATGGCACTCAGAGAAGTAAGTTATATGTGAGTGTGTTTTTGTGTGCACACTCCCATTACTCAAGCCCACTGCTCATAATTGAAGCGTGGAGTTGCAGCAGCAGTGAGGGAGGTTTCGAGGAGTATTCAGAGCGAAAGCTTTTATGTAGCAGGGGGGTGGGGGGTGTGAGGGGAAGTTACGGGATAGCTGTGTTCCAACCAGCTCCACACCAAACTCACAGGTACCCACCTTTGGACTACAACAAAAAAGCAATAATAAACAACACGAAACAAATGAATAAAAATAGATAGGTTAAAGATCTAGCATGATCTTAATGATTTCGATGTTCATCGTGTGAGATGATTGGGTTTAATGTGATTAATAAATAGCATGGAGACCGTGTAATTACTGAATGTGGGTTGTGAAGAAGAAGAGAAAAACAAAAAACAAAAAACAAAAAAAAACGACATGGTTATGTAAGACGGGTAACTTTTACTTTTATTTTTATTTTCCCTGGTTTGTGAGCAATTTGCGACTTGATGAAGTATTTTGCTCACTTTGTCTACCTTGAATTGGACACCACATTAATTGGCGTCTATACCTATCTCGGCAGCAAGGAGGAATCTCATTTTGTGTGAGTCAAGAGGCAAACTCCATCATGGTCTCTGGACCCAGTTACTGAAGTGCAAAAAAACAAACTATGAAACTATGAATCTAAAATAAAAACATTCATGCGAAAGAGGTTGTTGCGCGGAAGCGGACTGCTCACCTCCCTTTTTTTTGTGCTGTCGTGGATCGGAGCCTAAAGGAGGGAGGACAATCAGCTCAGGAGGTAGCTTTGAATGAGGGCGCTGGAGGGGTCCATTGCCACACTGTTGCAACTTTGATTGGGGTGGTGCCGGAGGGAAGGCCCGGCGGAAGTGCGGAGCTGGAACTGAATAAGACAAAGCGGCGCTCATGGGATTGCGCAACCCCTCCACCAGCCTTGTCGTCTTCACCCAGCAGGAGGTACATGGTCAGCCAATAAAACTAGCGAGAATTTTAGAGAACATCCACCGATTGTGGCCCTTTTGGAAGCGAGACACGCAGAAATTCAGGTCCCACAACATGCAGTCGCCGAAGTTTGGAGCCGATCCAACCGAGGCAGCAAAATGCCTAGAGTTCAATTTAATGACGATTCAATAAAGATAACGACAGTTGAAGGTTAAACTGTAGGGTTTCTTGGATGCGATAGATCGGAGCGTGGACTATCCCCCCTATGAACGTTGGCTGAGGTTGCTAAAAAGCAGGCTCAGGTCCCTTTGCCGGTTCTTGCTTTCCCCAGGGAACCAGGCGTGCTGGCAGGGAACTTGCAGGAGGTGTGTTGAAATTGCAGGGATTCATGAAACGCTGATAACATGGGGAGTCAAAACTAGAACTATCAAGATGTGGATGATTCTATACACAAAAAAAAAAAAAAAAAAAAAGCAACAAAAAAAAAGCAACAAAAAGGGTTCCTGTCTCGTAACAACCGCATCACCCCAATTATAGACCCACATAAGCAGCGCAGGATGGGTTCGACGTGTCCGAGATGAAGGTTGGGATCTGATGTTTCTATTAAAACTCCCATATTTTTCTAACCCACCTCCACACACTTTTAATAAACACGCCCCTTATACAAGGGCCGCACTCCGGCGATGGGAATATCGATAGGGGCGCCGGAGAAAAATAAAAATAAACTTATTTCTCCGAAGTTAGCATTTGTGCGATCAGTGCAACCATCTATGCACTAGTTTCCGGGGGGTGGCAACAGCTGGGCCGGTGAAGGGGAACCCTGGTATTAGTTTTTTTTCTGCTCTCTTTGCGATTACTGCACCGGATCTATTCGGCGGTAACTTTTGTTCGTGTGTGTGTGTTTTTCCGTTCTTTTCTGTTCTTTTCTTTTCTTTTATGTCTTTCTCACTGAGCACATTCAGAGAGTGGTTACTGTTTCAGTCACGAGCTGCGTTGAATGTCCCTCCGCCGCGCGACGTTCCGAGCATTTGCCATTTTCTGCGTGTTTTTAGTGCAGTTTCTGTTGCCTTATGCTTTGTTGGGGCCTCGGTGACGCGGGTAATGGGGTTCTGTGCACCAGCAGCAACAGGATAGCAGCCTCGAACTGTGGGAGTGGGGGTATTTATAGGGTCAGTGAGAGAGCTACGATGATGAGACTCTCTCTGAGCTTTCTCTTTCCCCTTTGATTCCCCTGATCGCTGTGACTTGAAGCTTGAGAGAGAGAGAGAGAGAGAGAGAGAATGGTGTGTTATGGACTCCTGAAGTACAAAAAAGCCTGGCTGCTGGGACTGATGACTTCTTAGGGCGGTGTGCTTCCTTTGCTTTAGCCTTTTATAATAAAAATAAAATAATAATAAAAATGGCTCTTTGCAGGTTATCAAGTTTAGAAATGCCACTTAAGGTTTTATTTTTTTATTTTTATTTTTATCTGTTGAATGTTTTTGTTGGGATTTTCTGTTTGGATTCATTAAATTTTATTAACTCTCTCTCTCGCTCCTTCATTCACACATTATTTATTTATTTATTTTTATTTTTTTTCCAATGTTGAAAGGAGTACTTGGTGAGTTTGAACAGTGCACGA